ATCCTCTTCCACTTACACACGAAATTAACTAGTGTTCTGTTACTAATGCTAGTTACTTCCACGTTTTTCTTTATAGTTTTACCAACTTAGTGTGAGGTCCTGTTTAGTTTTACCTGGTTTTGAATTTTAATATGAATGAAATCATACATATAATTCTTCACTCAACATATTATGAGATTCATCTGTGTTCTTGCACATAGTAGCAATTCATTCACTTTTATTGTTGTATAGTATTTCATTGTATGATTATACCACAATTTATGTATTCTATCATGATGGTCACTGGTAGTTTTCCATTTTGGAGCTATTATAAATGCTATTATGAGCATTCTTATGCACATAAACATTCATTTCTGTAAAACACACCCAGGGTACAATCATGAGAGTTGCTAGGTCATAGGGAAGGTAGTCTTGAACTTTAATAGATAATGCCAAGATTTCCACCATGGTTCTACCAATTGAAATTTCTACCATTGGCATCTGAGAATTTCCATTGCTCTACATCCTTAACCAAAAAAAAAGGCAATTTTTTCCAACTTCAGTAATTCTGGTGGGTGTGTAATGATATCTCATTGTGATTTTAGCACTTTTTTTCTGCTAAGAAAAATTTGGTAAGAGAATATTTCTGCAGATATTGACTAAGATGAAGCCTTTGGTCTCCAATTTCCTATGCTGTCCTTGTCTTTCAATAACATAATCAAGAGTTGATAATTTTATTTTTAAAGATTTTATTTACTTTTGGAGTAAGAGGAAGGGAGGGAGAAAGAGATGGAGAGAAACATCAATGTATGAGAGATACATTGATCAGTTGCCTCTTACATGCACCCAACTGGGACCGCAACCCAGGCATGTGCCCTGACTGGGAATCAAACCCGGGGACCTTTCAGTTTGTAGGCAGGTGCTCAATCCACTGAGCCACACCAGCCAGGGCAAGAGTTGATGATTTTTTTTTGAAAGAGTATTTAATTTTTTTCAATTTTATTTTTCAGTTACAGTTTACATTTAATATTATTTTGTATTAGTTTCAAAAAGTATTTTAAACTTTAATTGGATTCATGAAGCAGTTAGTTTGAGATATTGCCCAATATTCTTTATACTTTTTATTGGCTTATCTGAGAAACAGATGTTTTATTTCTCTTTATAATTATTCAGCTGCTGTTCCAGAAGTCATCACTATTACTGAAATGAGAGGTATGATCTGTGATTTACAAAGCTGGATTTAATGAATAAATCTTTCCAGTTCTTCTGAGCCATTACTTTTGTTAGCGTTTTTTTGTTTTTTTTTTTAATAAAGTACAATCATGGTAACTGATCTGGATGACATTGAGTAGTTAGTTTCTGTTGAGTGAAGTAAAACAGGCTTTTAACAGCTCATGGGTAATGTCTGAAAGGTAGAGTGACATGAGATAAATGTCTGTGTTCCATTCTGAAAATAGCAAAAGGCATATGGAACCATGATTTAACTTAATTGGCTAGTAATTTCATCCTGCTTTAAAAGTGCTTTAGCAAAGGGAGAATTATACTGTGATTTCTTTTTGCACAGTTAGTGCTAACAATGGAAAATTATTAGAAGTTAAAGGTTTGAAAGTTGTAAATGTCAGTTCAGTTTTATAAACATTTAATGTCTCAGTTTGTGTATACATTTTAAAAGATCATATATGCACTGAAAGGAGAGTAATTTAAATTTTTCTGGATAATTGAGTTTCCAAAAATACCAGTTTTATAGCTCTTTATAAATGTAAAACAATTATGTTGTTTTGTCCACAAATTTGATGAAAAATTAGAATTTCTAAGAGAACACGTATTTTTGAAAATAGAATAACTTAACCTCAGATTCTGTTAGTCATTTAGTAGTTACAAGGATTTTTAAGCTGACAAGTTAGATATTTTAAAAGGATTGTTGTAAACTTCACTTGAAAACAATTAAAACTTAAACTTAGAAGATAAATGGTTAAAATGTTAACTGTGGTTTCACCAGATATAAAGTAGTAAAAAAAATATGCTATGTGTATGGTTATTTTTGAGACTTAATAGGGATCAGCCTTGTACCAATTATGACTTATTTGCTTTTCTGATTGGCTTAGAGCTTAGAATATAAATTAGTTACAAAACTTTTGAGTTTAAACTAAATTAAAGGTTTGGATTTTTAAAAACTTTATACTTCCAGTATACCAGTATAGAATCACAAAATGTCTGTGTTTTCTAGTACTTAGGGCTTTAAATAAGACTTGGGAAATTTCTGGTAAAGGTAATGAATTTTATTTTAGGAAAAATGATGGAATAGAAATTTGGATGAATGAAAGCCAAAAAGAGTTCTGGTTTCTTTTAAAAGAAGATAAAGTATCTGACAAAGTTAGCAGATTGAGAATCAATGTAAGAAAAATCTGAAAATAAGAAAAAAAACCCCAAAACAACGGTCTCCTGCCATTGAAGTTCACACCACAAAGTCAGGAAATCAAGACAGACCAATTTGAGAAGCAGAAGCAAAAAAGAAGAGTCTCACAAATAATGTGAAGACAAAGAAACATCCCCAAGTCAAAGAAAAAGAGGAATCCCCAGAAAGAGAAATAAATGAAATAGAGGCAAGTAAATGATCAGATATTGAGTTCCAAACAACGATTGTAAGGAAGCTCAATGAGCTCAGTGAGCTCAGAGAGAATTACAAAAATCAGGGAAACTATGAGGAACTTACTGCAGACTATATCAGCATGAAAAAGGACATAGAAACTATCAATGAGAGACAAGAGGAAATGAAGAATGCAATCTCCGAATTGAAGAACACAGTAGAAGCACTCAAAAGCAGGCTCGATGAAGCTGAGGATCGAAATCAGCAAGCTGGAGGATCAGCAAGCTGGAGGATACGGTAGAAAAGAGCTCCCAGAAAGAGCAAGAAAATGAAAAAAGACTCAAAAAGAATGAAGAGGCACTTTGGGAAATGCAGGACAACCTGAAACGTAATAATATCCATATAATAGGGATACCAGAAGGAGAAGAGGATGAGGAAGGGATAGAGAACCTGTTTGAAAAAGTAATGATGGAAAACCTCCCTAATTAGAGGAGAGAAAAAGTCACACAAGTCCAGGAAGCACAGAAGGTCCCATTCAAGAAGAACCCAATGAGGCTCACTCCAAGACATATCATCATGAAAATGACAAATATCAAAGACAAACAGAGAATCCTAAAGGAAGCAAGGGAGAAAGAGGTAGCAACATACAACAGAGCCCAGATTCAGCTAGTATCTGACTTCTCAACAGAAACACTGCAAGCCAGAAGGGAGTGGCAAGAAATAGTCCAAGTCATGAAAAGCAAAGGCCTGCAACCAAGACTGCTCTACCCAGCAAGGCTCTCAATTAAAATGGAAGGCAAAATAAGGAGCTTTCCAGACAAAAGAAGGCTAAAAGAATACACCTCCACCAAACCAGCACTGCAAAACATGCTAAAGGGACTGCTTTAAGAAGATGAAGAAAAAGAGTCTATGAATACCCAGTTCCTTTCACAGTCCCCAATACTTGATATTACCAATATTTTTAATACTTACTAATCTGATTGTGACAATGATGTATTATTTTGTTACTTTATTATTTGTTGATACTGAACCTGTTTTGTATATTTCTTGCCTGTTTCTATTATGTTTTGAAAAAAGCTTTAAATGACTTTTTGGTATTCTTTATCTATGTTTTTGATTAAAGATTTGTAGAATTTTTTCCCTAAAAAAAAGAAAAAAACAACTATTAACCCTTTTATAGATGTGTTGCAAATACTTTCCTATTCTATTACTTGTCCTTTAACTTTTTTTACATGAATATTACTGTGTAGTCTTAAATGTTTAATATAGTCATATTGTCAATATTTTACTTTATAGCTTCTGGGTTTGAATGTGTTACTTCAGGGTAAGAAAAATATTATATTTTCTCCTAAAGCTCCGTGGAGTTTACATATTGATTTTTAACTCATCTGAATATTTGTTGTATAATATTTGAAATAAGACTCTATAGTTGTTTTATTTCAAGTAATAGTGATCTATTCACCTTACATGTTGAATAAGTCTCATTTTCCCCATTGATTTGAAATATCAATTTAATGATATATTACATTGCTAGAAAGATTTTAAAAACTCTGAATATATTTTGTTGTTTTCTTTTTCATACTTGTGATAAATTTTGAAGCGTATCAGTTATTTGCTACAATGTGGTCACTCTGTAAGCAAGCTCAGTATTGGAGTTTAATGTTAATAGATTCCTGACCGTAGTATGTGAAGACATTGGCATCCACATTCAGAATGTTATGTATTGCTAACAGTTAACCTGTCAAGACAGATTAACTATTTGCAAATGTATTAAACTTTTCCAGACCTTTAAAATTATTGGAACCGTTATATTAGACACTCAGGTAAGCACAGTAGGTGTGAAAGACCTAGATTTCTTCACTTTTGGCCTTTCAATGTTTTAAAGTGGTCTTAAAGACCAGAAAAACTCAGAGATATCTTCTTGAATTGTTATAATTGATCAGCTTGCCACAACTGATAAGCTGGATAACATTTCATGTTAATAATTCATTTAATTTGAATGAACCTACCAGTTCATTCAGTATGAGCAAGGCCACTTGCAACTAAATTGCCCTGTTTCAGACTGATTTTGGTATATGCTCATTATACAATGTATAGTAGATTACCTAACTCCAGTTATTGTATACCAATTTAAGTTATTATATACTCAAAAGCTTTTTTAATCCAAAATTGAATTTAATCCCTTTTTAAAGCAAAACTGTCTACTTTATAGAACTTTCTTCTCTGCTTGGCAGTGTTTCAGAATTGGTTAAACAAAGATTCACTTTGAGAGCCTTCTCAGATTGTGTCCCATCGGTTTGTATTGTTTTCCTTTTAGACTCCAGTAGTCTATATAAAAAAAGACTGGAGTAAAAAAACAAAACCAACTATAGAGTATGAAATATGGCAGTGACAAGGAATATCAGTTTTTAAATCTTTCCTATTTATTTTTAAGATAAAGATACGGATATCACTATGAAGGGGAATGTGGATGACTTTGGCCTGCGAGACACTCTGAGCATTGCATCAACTGATTCTTTTGCTTCAGCAGCAGAGGTAAGACATACATGTTTCTAATGGGAGTTTCTCATTCTTTTTCAGCTGGAGTGTACAGTTTTGCCATTGTGCTGTATATTAGTTCAGTGACTATTTATTTAGCATGGGGTAGATGCCAGCATACAAAGATAAATATACATGAATGTAACTTCCCACAGGAGCTCATAGTCTCTTTAGAGAGGTGGACATGTAAACATATACTGTAAATGGTCACTTTTATATACTGTGGATTATGGGTAAGTCATGGAATTATCTTAATGGAAAGCAGTTGACCTTATATCGAGAGTCTTAAAAATTGTTCAGATTTTTTAGCTCAGAAATCTTACTTCTAGATGTTTATTCCAAGGAAGTGATCAGATTCAAAGATTCATATATATAAATATTACTTTGGCATTTTAATAATAATGAAAAACTAGAAACAGTCTAATGCCAAATTATAGTACATATGTAATTTGAAATATTGTAATGTCATAAACATATTTCTATTCATTTTTAATAACATGGGAACATGTGTTAAGTGAAAAGAGTAGTATATAAAGCTGTATATAGACAATATGATTCTGATTTTGTAATAGGAAAAGAAAGGAACATGTATGATATATAATTATTTAGGGAGAGAAAAAAGGCTAGATATACACCAATGTATGTCACTGAATTATAAATTTATGAGTAATGTTTTTTCCTGAAATTTAAATTTTGTATCAAAAGAGAAAGATGACAGAGTGGTCATCTTTTTATCCTTTTTTCTATTTAAGACAGTTTTAAAAATCACATGTGGCTACTTTTACTTTAGAATAATTTCCTTTTTATGGTAGATTTCAGATATAATACTGTTTTTAACATATAAATAGTATCACACATCTGTAACTGATGTGTGAACTCATGCTGTAGCATGGAAAGCTCTAGGTATTCTAAATAATACCCTAGACCTAAGCCTGGATTCTTTATTTTTTAAACTTTTGTAACTATAATCTTTCATCCTATCAAGACTTTTCTTTATATTTTAGCTGTTGCTTACGGTATCATCTCCTAAATTGTTTGTATATTTTCTTATATTTTTATACTTGTATGTTTTCAACTGACAGAATATATCTACTTGTTTTATGGAAAAGCTATTTCTTCTTCCTTTTACTATTTGATATAGACAGGCTTATATTTCTTTTTATTTTTTTGTGTATTATTTTTCCAACCTTATTGAGATATAATTAACATAAAACATTGTGTAAGTTTAAGGTGTACAGTATGAAGATTTGATACACACATATTGTGAAATAATTACCACAGTAAGGTTGGTTAACACTTCCATCACCTCACATAATTACTGTATTTTGTTATGTATAGTGCACATCCACCTTTTTGGCCCAAACTCTCGGGGGGGAAAAAAATCTTTCGTTTTAATTTTTAATTGAATTATTTATTTATATTTAGAAACAAGACCAATTATCAAATTCCAGGTTATTATTTTGCATATGGATATCATTATTGCTTTCTAGAGTTACACTTTTAATGCATAAGCATAAATGAAAGAATTAAAAAATGTAAATAGATAAAGAATTAGTACTAGCCATGTATAATGCACATCCTTATTTTTCCTTCAAAAATTTGAGCAAAAAGTGCATATTATACACAGCAAGGTATGGTACCTTTTTTGTGTGTGGTGAGAACATTTAAGATCTACTCTCTTAGCAACTTTTAAGTATATAATACAGTATTATTAACTATAGTTGCCATACTGTACATGAAGATCCCCAGAACTTATTTTCTCACTGGAGATTTACACGCTTTGACCAACATCTCCCCATTTCCCCCACCCCTGAGCTCCTTGCAACCACCATTCTGCTGTTTCTGTGGGTTTGGCCTTTTTAGATTTTCTCACATAAATGATGCTGTGTATAGTATTTGTCTTTCTCTGTCTGATTTATTTCACTTAGCATATAATGTCTTTGAGTTCATATAGCATATATTGTCTCAAATGATAGGATTTTCTTCTTTCTAATGGATGAATAATATTTCATTGCATATATACTATAAATGTGTATATATATATATATGTATATATGTGTACATACACACATATACACTACATCTTCTCTATCCATTCATCTGTTGATGGGCACTTAAGTCTTTTCCATACCTTGGTTACTGTGAAAAATGCTGCAGTGAACATGGGAATGCAGATATTTCAAGATAGTGATTTTACTTCCCTTGGATGTATACCCAGAAGTGGGATTGCTGGATCATGTGGTAATTCTTTTACTTTTTTACTTCCCTATTGTTTTCATTCTAGCTGTACTAATTTACATTCCCACCAACAGTGCACCAGTGTTCCCTTTGCTTCATGTCCCCATCCACACTTGTCTCCTGTCTTTTTGATAATAGGCATGTAACAGGTCTGAGGTAATATCTCATTGTGGTTTTGATTTACATTTCCCTGATGATTAGTGATGCTGAGCAAATTTTCATGTACCTGCTGGCCATTTGTTTCTTCTCTGGAAAAATGTATTCAGGTCCTCTGTCCATTTTTCAATTAGATTGTTTGGGTTTGTTTGTTTGTTTTTGCTATTCAGTTGTATGGGTTCCTTACATATTAACCCCTTATCAGATAAATGGTTTACAAATATTTTCCCTCATTCTGTAAGTTGCCTTCTCATTTTGTTGCTTCTTTTGCTTTGCAGAAGCTTTTTGGTTTGATGTAATCTCACTTTATTTTTGCTTTTGCTGCTTGCGCTTTAGTGATCATATCCGATATATCATTGTCAAGGATCTTTTTTCCTATGTTTTTAAGAATTTCATGGTTTCAGATCTTATGTTTAGTCTTAAATCCATTTTGAGTTAATATTTGTTGAGTGATATAAGATAAGGATCCAGTTTCATTCTTCTGCATGTGGTTCTCCAGTTTTCCTCCCATATTAAAGAAGCCATTCTCCCTATTGGTTCCCTTGTCATATATTGATTGACTTGCTCTGGCTGGGTGACTTGGGTGGAATATCGTCCTGTACACCAGAAGGTTGTGGGTTTGATTCCACGTCAGGGCACAGATACAGGATACAGGTTCAGTCCTTGGTTGGGGTTCTTTGGGGGACAACTGATCGATGTTTCTTTACCTCTCTCCCTTCCTTTCTCTCTCAAATCAATAAACATATCCTTGGGTGAGGATTACAAAAATTATTAAAAATTATTGATTGACTTTATTGCAAAGGTTTATTTCTGGGCTCTTGATTCTGTTCTATTTGTCTATGTGTCTGTTTTTATGCCAGAAGACTACTGTGTGATTACTATAGCTTTGTAATACTGTTTGAAATCAGGAAGTGTGATGCCTCAAATTTGGTTCTGTCTCTAGATTGCTTTGCCTGTTTGGGGTCTTTTGTGGCTCCATATGAATTTTAGGATTGTTTCTTTTGTTTCTGTAAAAAATGCCATTGGAGTTTTGATAGGGATCACGTGAATTTATAGATGGCTTTAGGTAATATGGACATTTCGACAATATTAATTATTCAAATCCATGAACATGGGATATCCTTCCATTTGTGTGTCTTTTTTTGTTTTCTTTCATCTTACCATACAGTTTTCAGTGCACAGACTGTTTCACCTCCTTAGCCAAATTTATTCTTGAGTATTTTATTCTTTTTTCATGCTATTATAATTTCTTAATTTCTCTTTCTGATTGTTGTTAATGTATAGAAATTCAACTGATTTTTGTATATTGATTCTGTATCCTGTAACTTCACTGAATTTAGTTATTAGTTCTAACAGTTCTTCTGATGGAGTCTTAAGGATTTTTGATATATAAGATCATATGTGCAAACAGAGAGTTTTACCTCTTTTTAATTTGAATGCCTTTTTAATTTTTGTTTTCCTTACCTAATTGTCTCTGACTAACACTTTCATTACTATGTTAAATAGGAGTGATGAAAGTGGGCGCCCTTGTTTTGTTCCTGTTCTTAGAGGAATAGCTTTCAACCTTTTCCTCCATTGAATATGTACCTTTCACCATTGAATATGATATTAGCTGTGGCCTAATCATATATGGTTTTTATTGTGTTGAGGTACATTCCCTCTATACCTAACTTATTGAGAGTTTTTTTTGTCATAAAAGGATGTCGTATTTTGTCAAATGATTTTTATCTCTTTGTTCTGTACATGCTTATGTCCTAGATGGTTCATAGGGAGAATAATTGCTAGTCATGTTCCATTTCTTCACTGTGAAGAACAATGTACCTAATTACTCTAAAGTTTCTTTGTAATGTACAACTTAAAAAATATTTTGCCAAGTGTTCATGGTACTCAACTTTGAACTTGTTATAAGTCACAAAGATTTGATAAATTTTTAAAGAATCCTTATGGAAAACAAAATGTATGAATACCACAAGAAGGACTCAATATCTGAGAAACATCCTAGGAATGCTTCTAGGTTATAAATATATGATCTCAGAATATGAATGTTCCAAGATAAATTCTTTTCTAAGAAATGTTTGTTAAATTATTTTTAATTGCACTTTCTATATGCCAAGCCCTTAAATTAGGGAAAACTATTTTAATGAAGAAAGTTATTAAGAAAATAAGATGAGAACTACTTTGGAAGCTAAAGTTTGTGATTATTTGAAAGCTTTATTCAGAATTACCAGAAAGATTTCTTGCGTCTTTAGATTGAAACAAGTCCTGGCATAGGTTTTTCTCTAAGCTAGGTCAGTCATTTGTGAAAGTGATTAACAGGATTTTCCTATATAAGCTTTGCCAAACATTGGTTTGGAACCACAGCCTTTTTTCTTGGAAAAGTCTGTTTTTTAAATAATAGCTTTATTGAGATATAATTCACATACTATAAAATTCACTCTTTTAATGCATACAGTTCAGTGGTTTTTCACATATTCACAGAATTGTACAACCAGTACCACTTTCTAAATCCAGAATATTTTTTATCACTGCTAAAAGAAAAAGAAACTCTGTTAGTAATCACTTCCTTTTCTCACTTAGCCCTGCCCCTGCCATGCCTTGGCAAC